AAGTTATTTTCACTAAACTTGTTGAGATTACAACATAATTATTCATAATGACACCTATGTGAAGTTAGCCCCCAATTAAACAGAATTTTACATGTATAGTATTTTAATTATAACATGAGAACCAGTGAACCGATTTCGATAAACAATGTCTCATTCGAAAGCTTAATCCTTGGCCAATACGAAAGTGGAAATGCCCGATTGACGATGTGACGATAGCAACGATAGCAACAAACCTTCCAACAACAAATTTTTATCCGCAATTTCCTATCTATTTTATTAGCTGATATCTTTCTTATTATTAGATATAGCAGAACACTAAATGCACCATATGAAAGCTTGATTCTTTCTTTATGAAATCGTCGGTCCTCGTTTGCCGATATGTTAATATTAAAATCAATAAAAGATGAAGAACACCGCTCTGTACGTAAAATAGCTTAATATTACCAAACTTCAAGCCCTTGTGCAATTGTTATCAAACCGAATTTTAAAAAACTGTGTTCACAATCAGAAAGAACGCTCCTTCAAATATCTTAATCCGGGTTTTTGTCGGTCAATATCTATTAGCATCATGGTTAAATCACCTTTAATATACATCTCTATATACAGAAACGTTTAATTGCTCTACCTCTAAACAACTTTCTTATTTGATATGAGGAAAACTATAGAAGTGTATCTTGAAGTTATAGACTTGGACAAAGACGTTTTTGTTAAAAAATTACCAAATTCACACGTTTTAGCTACTTTTAAACATTGTTGGGATCAATAACTCTCTTATATCACCAGGAAAAAACTCTATAACCAAGCAGCGATCGCCGCGTGTTATACACCATTAGAAAGAGCAGAAAATTGTAGATAGGATAGATCTATACTTCTATAGTTTTCTCCCTATCAAATAAGAAAGTTGTTTAAAGGAATAGTAATTAAGCGTGTTTGCGTGTAGGGATGTATATTAAGGGCGATTTAAGCATGACGCCGATAGATATTTACCAACGAAAACCCGGATTAAGATAATTTAAAGAGCGCTCTTTCTGAATGTGATAATAGTTTTTTAAAATTCGGTTTGATAACAATTGCACAAAGGCTTGAAGTTTGGTAATTTGAAGCTATTTAATCTAAATACAAAGCCACCGCTTTGTACTTTAAGTACAGATTGATCTTAGTATTACTTATCGACAGACAAAGACCGGTTTTAGATAGAGAAAGAATCAAGCTTTTAAATGGCGCATTTAGTTTTTCGCTATCTCTAATAATAAGAAAGATATCAGCTAAGAAAGTAGATAGAAAATTACGGATACAAGTTTGTTGCTGGAAAGTTTGTTGCTATCTAATACGAAAATGCATATTTAACATTGCTTTTAACTTCCAAAAAGAAACGTCAAATCGCAACTTTAAAGTGATTTTTCGGTAAGTACTGCACTTTTGCGCACTTTTTTTTATCATTAACGCATCTTTTGAGTCATTTCCTACCGATTAAAAAAAAACATCGATTTTTAAGAGGGACTGCTAATCTTAATATATGCCGAAATTTTTAAGATAATAAGCTGGTTTTATTTTACCTTTCTACCTATAGAATAGTTATTTAAGATATAAGTGTTAAAAGTAAGATTTTATTTTGTGTGTGGAGATGATTGACAAACGCGTGTTATGTGCTCTTTGAATGATTTTAATTTATTTTTGAGTAACGTAATTAAATCCAGTAATGTATATTGGGTTACTCGCTTCTCATTAACCTTTTAAAAATCGCGCTAGTAATTGGCTTCCGCGCATCATCACTTTCTGGGCATAAGCATACCTTACATTCATCATCTACCTTGGACACAAGTTTTATATATACATAGGTTCCTATACTGCAATACTTTGATTTTAAGGTCATTCTCAAGGCCATGTTTAGTGAGAGCTGAAGTGTCTTCTCTGGTACAAGGGTGGGCACTACCCGGGTAATTTGTTGTTAGAGTACTCGTTACCCGGATACATTTAAACGACGAAAAATACCCGTACCCGGGTACAATATTTGAGTACCCGGGTATTTTGAATGTAGTCGGGTATTTTCGAAGTACCCGGGTATTTTGAATGTATTTTAATAATATAACAACAAAATATAACAATAAATTTAAATATGGTGGGGATATCATCATAGATATGTGCATTGAGAAATTGCAAAGTAGGTTTTCAACCATTTTTCTTATGAAGAGCTATGATTCCATAGGCGCGTGTGTATTGTAACCTAATTTTAAATTGAGATGGTTGTCAGGTATGAAGAACCCAAATTTAAGCATTGATGAAATTAAAAAATTTATAGTGCGAGCAGCAGTGGACTTAAAAGAGGACGACGTTGAATGCTCGCCTGGGGAGGAGAATAACCTATGAAAGTGAAGTACAAAAAAACGTTAAGCAAACTAAACATTATGGACCAAAAGTTGAGTTAGAACTACTACGATATTAACGTACAAATTTAAACATTATTCATGATTACCCAACATTAAAAAAATTGTTTCTAAAATACAATACCGCATTACCATCATCGGCACCTGTCGAAAGGTTATTCTCATTGGCCAACATGGTCCTAACTCCAAGACGCCAAGCGCTATCAGACTACAACTTTGAAATATTAACATTATTGAATGCTAACAAACATTTATTAGACTTTAATTTATTATAATATACAATATAAGAAAATATTTTTTGAAGTATGTAGTACAACCCAATTATTATTTTTATTTACAAGTTGTTGCTCATTTTTAACACAATCGTAACTTTTTTTGAAATACCCGTACCCGAGTACCCGCTAATAGTACCCGGGTACTGTACTCGGGTACTTCAAATTGTGAAAAGTTCTCGTAAAAAGTATCCGATACCCGAATAGTATTAAAGTACCCGTACCCATTACCCGGGTACTTTCATTCAGTACCCGTGCCCACCTTTGTCAGTGACAGACATACCTCTTCGACTGCGTTGACAAAACGTCATTGCACGTGGTTCTAGTAGGGGACATATGATAAACCACTGTAAATTGGAACAACCGGGACGCAGTTAGTATTACTTGAGAAGGTTAAGGCTAGGTAGTAAGATATAAGTATATGTAGCAAGATGTCTAAACCAAGTNTCCAGGTATTATTTTCCGCCAATTACGTAATGCGCAGTATGGTCACAGAATAACCAGATGTGACATAGACGTCGATTCTTTTGATGTTGGCAGCATCTCGTTTTATGACCTCGATTTAAAATCCGCCATCATATCGCGAGGATCCGTAGGCGCGATAAACGCACAATGAATGAGAGAGACAACTTAATTTACCACCAATAGCAGCCATACCTTGCTTCCTCGCAATAATATGACGTCAGATTTGGTGGGATACCGCCAGTGTCACTTCTGGTTATTCTGTGGTATGGTACGCAACCATACCACAGAATAATAATAAACCTAGACAACCTCTTATATACAAACATTGCCTTGAAACGGATGTAACTATGTTGTTTTAGAGGGCGTCCAAAATGGCGTCTCGAACTCGAATGGAAAATTTATCAGGGTCCTCAAATTTACAAATCAATAAAAATCACCAAATTCAATAAAAATGCACAAAACAACTAAAAGATCGAACCCTGAAAATAATATTTAGTAGAATATTTTTACCTTAAGTTATTAAACGTGTAGCCGTGTTGATTAAAACGGAACCAGGAACGCCGGAACAAATCACGCCAATAACAATTGACCAGATTAGTTTAGATCTTCTTGTCGATTTGTTCTACGACAAGAAGATCTCCAAAACCAATTATTGAGATACTTCAATAAAAATCTTCTACAACCATGCGGTTAAGCTTTACTAAAAATTACACCAGTGTACTACACCAAGGATCGATAACGAAAAAGGAAGAGGAAACGCGGTACGGATTAATGATATCCGCATCCCCACCCCTAACGTTAATAGATCTTACAAATATCGATAAATTCACCAACGAAACCCATGTTACATAGAGTTAGTTCTACTTTTAGTTAAACAAAAATGTACAGTTCTGTTCAGATTTAATGCGAATCGGCCACTGTTAGCTCCGACATGACGCTGGTACTGGAAGAAGACGGAGACATCTTTTGTTTCTATTCAATACGATTTCTGAGACTAAAGGAAGCCTAAAGGTACCCTTTTCCTTAACCCAGGTAAAACCATCCCAGTTTGAAGTGGGCCAAAGAATGGATCACCCTTTTTTTAAATGTGTTAATTTTATTTTATTTTAAATCTTTTTTAATATTTTTAAGCACAACAAATACACGATTTTTTATATGTTCGTCTAATAAATGATTTTAGAGTATTTCTATAAATAAAACGTCAGATAAAATTCATTCATGACCGGGTAGCTGTAAAAAAAACCCTAATTACGGAGCAATTGACTACAACACGGTCACGATTTGCCCGTGAATACCTTAAGTATAATTGGGACCAGTCATCTTCACAGACGAAAAAATCTTCTGTTCGTCGGACGACCATAAGAAATTACTATAGCGAAGAGATGGAACCCGCTATAATGCTAATCATGTTCAACCCAATACAAGAAGTGGACACATTTCCTTGGGTTATTGGGGATGGATGATTCATGGACCGGGAGAACTGACCGAAATTAAAGGAAGATTTAATTCGATTGAATACATTCGAGTGCTGGAGGATGTTTTGATACCACCAGTAAGAACCTGTATCCAGAAGGGATCATCACGATAGTCCACGACAATTCGCCCGTGCATTCTTCAAGAATTGTTCATGTTTGGTTTGACGATCATAATGAGGTTAGGCGAATACCCCAGCCAGCGTGGTCACCGGATCTAAACCCATTCGAAAATCTATAGACTTTGGTGGAGAAACAGTTCAATAAAAATGCCAACTTTCCTTTTCGCAATATGGATAATCTGCGCCGCAACATTACAGTTGTGTGGGAATTGTTTCGCGGCAAGGATGTATGCGAAAGATTAGTAAATTCGATGTCCACCAGACTGCAATGTTGCATAGAGAACAATGGGTATTATACAAAATACTGATATTTGATGGTATAATGGACCGTATGAAATTCTCCCCAATTAGATTATTATAATATTTATTATATTTTATATGTATAATAATATATTATATTTTTTGTTATATAGGAGTGTTATATTTTATTATATTGATTTTTGCTTGTTTGATTTTATTACATTAAAATGGTTTGCGATATATTTCAATATATGTATAGTTTATATATAACTTATTATCAATATATCATTTTCATTTCTTTTGAGGTTCGACTTATCCTTCCACTGTATTACCAAAGTAATACAGTAATTATTAGTAATTATTTTCATTTACTACAGGAATTGTGTAAAGTAAATGAATTGCTTATACCTATTTATTTTCTTAATTTTTCTTTGTGATTCAGTCATCTCAGCCATAAATCACACCACCCTGCTTGCCTGTTCGGAACTTTTACAAGACTACAGAGCAGGTAAAACCGAATTGAATGTCTCGTGAACGTAGGTCATTTCTAGCACAATTTTATGCCTCTACGAGCGGCTCTTTTCGCAATATATCTGAACAGAACTGTACGTACGTACGTATGTAATAATGTGTGTAAACACGATAACTTAAAAACGTAATCAGTTACCGTAATGAAATTTGGTATAAAGCTAATTAAACCAAAATCGAAAGCTCTTAAACAACTTAAATGGCACTTTACCTGAAGACATTCAAATGTTTCATATAAACTTACACTTTTGATATGTATAGCCCAACATATACTTTCATGTACATCTAATAAATGATAAAAAATTACCGTATATTGAATTTTAGCGAAATCGCTTGACCGCAAGTGTCACTTTACCTCATTTAAAATTTAATTCATTAAAACTTTACCACATTTTCACCATTTTAAAACTTATAAATAAAACTAGAAAATAAAAAGATGTTATTTAAATGAATAATATAAGATTTTAAGGGGGCAGAGAAATAATTTTAAATGGCATAATGACTTCTGTGGAGAAAAATTATCTTTTGATGTAAATTCAGCCTTGAATGTGCAGAAAAATCGTGTTTTTCGCATATTTTAGGTAAGATATCTTGAAAATCTTAAGTGATGAAGCAATTCTGACGTCAGATTCGTATTCAGGGTATCGAAAATTATTTGGAAGGTATAGTCTAGTCTTTGGTTTTGTCGGCCAGTGTAATTTCTTATTTTCTATTAATTAATTCAATTTTTTTTAACAATCTATCCAAAGAGAAGGTACACTTAATTAAATTTTCAACATAAAGAGTTCAATGCGCTTTGGCCGTACGTCGAGTTCATTATTTTTGCAATACTAGTTCCAATCTTTTTTTCGTTTCCAGTGTCCAATCTCAATTCTCCCCCTTATTAATTATTCCCCGTCCAACCAACCCAGTTAGATTCTTACATCAATCATTTAAGAAGTACATTCAAACTTTCCAGATAACCCACTTACCCCCTTGAACGCAACTTTAATTCGGAAATTAAAACTTAACACTCGATGCAGTTAAGGAACTTCTATTATTAACTTGGGATAACGAGAAATTTCTCGGCCGTTATTTACTCTTATAGTTTAATAACTCAAACGTTTCACGGCCGTCGCCTACGTTTCAAACGGAGGGTGAAGATGGCGTCCAAACTGGGAAGTACTCTTCAAACTGTCTGTAATCGACCGCTTCCCTCTCTCTCTTAGATTACTCCCTTTGTTTACGAAATTAATCCACGATACTCCTGTTGTAAGGACTCTCAAAGGGTCACTTTGAACCCGAAGAGCTATTGTGGCGCCTCAAAATAAAACGTTTGCCCACAAAGAGTGTCAGAGAGCAATCGGCCGTAAGAGACCACGACGTTAATAGTTTCACTTATTTTCTTTGAAACGAACGTTACATGCCATTTTTTTTTTATTTACAGGTATATACTGCAGATTATATTGCTACGCACAAAAGCACGTAAAAAACATTCGTGCAATAACAAGACCTATCGATCTTCCAGAAGGAGCAAATTCAAAGAAGAAAAGTATCAAACACAAAAATAAAGCTCTCCACATTCAAATGCACAATCATCACAGTTCACCATATCACGTAAGCGATCATAAAGCAGCCATCACCGTTGGAATAATAATGGGTGTATTCCTAATCTGTTGGGTACCATTCTTCTGTATCAACATCGTAGCGGCTTTTTGCAAAACTTGCATTCCCGACATCACCTTTAAAATACTGACATGGCTCGGTTACTCAAATTCGGCCTTCAATCCGATCATCTATTCGATATTTAATACGGAATTTCGAGAGGCTTTTAAACGAATCTTAACAGCTCACTACCCCGTTTGGTGTAAATGCGGATATCAATCGGTGGCTCTCAACACAAACGATAAATTTATAACCGATTATGGTACAAAAACGGTTATTGTAAACGCGAAAAGAAATGGTTCTTTCGGAGAGTTTTCAAGTGAACATTTGAGTACCACCGAATCTGTTAGACATACCAGGGTTAATTCGGCCGAAAAGGATTTCTTTGGAGAAAACACCAGCACCATTTGACAGGATGGAAATTATTTTAGCGACACCATGGTGTGAATATAAAGAGCAATAATCGAGATGTTTTAAGGCTGTGCTAAGATGTTTGGAAGAAGATTAAGTTTGGAATAAGGGGTCGTAGATACTCTTAAGGTATCTAACTTAACCTTTCAGTACACCCGCATTAGAACTAATATTAGAGCTAGAAGTCTTGAGATGCACGGCTAGTGCTGTACAGGGTGGTTCAAATTCGATGTCCGAATAGGCTAACTCGGAAACTATAAGAGTTAGAAAAAAAGTAGCTTACATGTCATGATCTCGTTTTTCGAGAAACTGCTAATGCCGAAAACCTCATAGCGCTATCGTCTTTTGTTTTTNTAGTTAAACAAAAATATACAATCATCTAGCGCTGAATAACAATTAAAACTAAACCAAGTCTTAATATTAATTCTTCTCTATAATTATCTTTCAACTAACATTTCCCGCCGTTTGATATTATTAATCTTTCTACACAAAGATGGCACCTCTGCTGTTAGAAATCTGAAATAGAGATGCGCATTAGCAGAGAGAATTGGATACGCAATATTACGCGAGCGTAAGAAAACTTGGAGTCGCTTCCAGCTCCAGTGAGCTCCCAGTTATTGTGAATATCATCTTTAACATCAAACACTGTCATGTGAATCAAACCACGTCTGGAGATGAACTGAACTTTTATTATTTTCAAAGCCTGTTTTATGCAACAAACTTAAACTTACATTTAAATATAACATCTACCTTTCTTTATTTTGCTTTTCGTACTGTAAATTAATTACTAACTTGACACTAAGCTATTCAAACTAATTTTAAAAGAAAACTTTATTAAATGATAATAAAATAAAAACTAGAAACTATTCCGCAGTATATCTATTTGGCGTCGAATAGTTCTGCCAAAACTTGAAGTTTTTTGATTAAAATTATATTATTTAACTGTTATTTAGAGTTTTTTTATTAAAAGGACGTTTTAATCATTTAACTTTTATTTAAAATTATAATTTATTATATAAGATTTTATAAAAACGGAAGCGTAACTTGAACACCGCGTCGACGATTTGAGTACTTCGTGGAGTCGGAATTACAATTCTTCGATATCGAAGTACTCGCAGTTATTTATAACAATTAATTGCTGACGCTTCATATTCGGCAATTACAGTTGTTAAGGGGCAGCTACATTTGGTAACTCCCGGAAGAATGCTAATATCATATCCACGACGTTG